ACCTGTTTTGTCTCTGACTTTTTTCCACAACATACTTGGTACCTCCCTAAGATTTTGAGTTAAAATTGTGATACTGTGTAAATGACTTTGGCAGTAGCTGGAAATCAGAAAGTGGGCTTTTTGAGGCCTGGTAGAACTACTTACTTAGAACTACAACCACAAGATTGGCAGTTCAAACTCATCAGCACCTGTGTGAGAGAAAGCTGAGGCGCTCTGCTTCTGTGAAAGATTTATAGCCTTAGAAACCTTCGATAGAATTTAGATCAAGTCAGTGGGAGTGGGGTGTTGCTGCTATTGGTAGGACTGACGGGATGAAGTGGGAGATAAAGAGATGGAAGAGAGATTGGAGCTGGATAGAGAGTAGGAGCTTATTCTGAAAAATACGTTTAATTTTGTTTAAATAGGCAAGTTGATTTTTTGGCATGGTGACGGCATTTTGTGCTATCTTGTCTTATTGCTAATAAAGTTTATTTGAGAAATTAAGGATTTGGCATAAAAATGAAAATATATGAGTATTAAATTCTAAGCAAACTTATACTTTCTGATTATGTCCTAATACTCATTACTTTATGTTAATTGCATTATATTCAAAATATAAACTGAGAATAATGCTTATATGTATTTAAAATTGTACATGGTAATGTCACTTTACCACATTACTGGATACTTATGAGGAATTTCAGACCTTGAGAGAGAAATGAACGGAATCTGTTTAGACCAATAAGAATTCTCTAATTTATTTACAGGTCATGTCATGTTTGCAGAAATAAAAATGGAGAATGGGAAGTCAAAAGGCTGTGGGACCGTCAGATTTGACTCTCCAGAATCAGCGGAGAAAGCCTGCAGAATCATGAACGGCATCAAAATCAGCGGCAGGGAAATCGACGTTCGCCTGGACCGTAATGCCTAGTTCAGCCACGGGTAGAACATCCGTAAACCTGTTGGGCTGAATCTCCTAGTCAGTGTCACTTTTTAGTAATACGTATGCTTATAAAAGCTGTACAAAATGAACTTTTACAAGTCCCACCAGCTTTTTACAGTATAGTGTTAAAATATACTGTGAGTTTTGTTAATGGTTTTTAAAGACAGAGCGTTTGGTCATTCAGTTTAAATGAATGGTTATACTGTTTTTAATCAAATAAGCCATTTTC